CTTACCGATAGAGATAGAGGGCGAGGAATGACAGTTCTTTGACTTCACGCAAGAGACCCAATGAATATTCTTAGAACATATAATTAGTCGCAATTTCCATCTGTAGATCAGCCAAGATCAACGAACAAGCATAATTTAGATTATGTGTGACTGGCTGATATCATCTTCTAACCGCTCATTATCGCAGTACTGATTTGAGGATGGCGCAAGGAAAAAGTAGCGAAGTTGGACTTATTTTGGTTTAAGTCCATCGTTTCCTCCTTTGGATATAATAACTGTGCATCTGCATTCGATTTATTATTCTGTATTGTTGTACACTGGCATAGCTATCTCCGAAGTACACTACGTTTCTGTGCATAAGTCACGATTCTATGTAGTTAGATACTGATCATTGGATTGATGCAATTGAACAATTGAAAAGAAGATCTGTAATGTTCATTCCTGTGAATATATGTCAAATTTGAAGGTTGAATTCAATTATTGAATAGCTGAAAATTGTGAAGTTGAATTACAAATATTCAACTTGTCTGACATTAGGATACCAAGTACACATAAGATCTTTTTCCATGAAGTTGTCACGGAAACACTACCCAGGACGAGTAATCCAGGTTCCGGATCCCGTCGGATCCTGTCGGAAATCTGGCTTAATCCGGCAAATTCCGACAGGATCCGTGTCGGAAGTTATCGGAATCCTTGGTAGCGGAATCCAGTCGGAAGGTGTCGGATGTCGGATCCGCCGATTTCCGACAGCCGGATCGGATAGTCGGAAAAACCTGGAAACGACAGGATCCGATGGGTTTCTGTTAAGTTTTCATAACCGCAGATTGCATTAATTTTATTAGTATTATGGATTTGTTTATTTTCAAATAGTTTTCACACACAATGACAATAAAAGTTATTGCACAACAATAAAAAATAAATGCTTGAAAGACAACTTTTTCATATTGATAATTTGTTTTAGAAAAAAAAACAAAAAATAAGAGATGAAAATCTTACTTTAATAACTCTACTACATAATGCAGTTTTCATTTGTGAAGTATTACCAGGAGATAAAGATAATAAAGATTATGTTCATTTACTTTTACGATCACGTTTACGTTCATCAGCCAAAAAATCTGCTAATTTTGGTCGTACTAATTTGCTATAAAATTCATCGTAGCGATCACCAGCAATGCGATATTTACTACGCATAGCATCTAAACAGAAGTTCAGATTCAATAAAAATAGTCTGAAAATAATCTATGAATAGCTATATATTCATATATACATTTATACATAACTGTGAAATACTTAATCAATTACAGTTTTCACGATAAAAAACTTCTTATCATCCTACAAATAACACTTTTTCTTCCACTAGGATTAGTCAAAAAGGAAAATCATCCTTTTTTCTAATAAAAAGTGCAGAAGAGCTTTAGTTATGGTCAATACTCTGTTACAAACTCCAGAAATAGATTCACCTAGAGCTATTTTACGATGAATAAATGAAAAATTTAGTTACAGCATTATCCTAATCTTGCTTTAGTATTTGTAAAAATTATAAAATTACATACCATGGAGGAACTCGAACTTTTCAAAATCTAAAGGCTTTCGAGCATATTGAGAACCACCTGGAGGTAAAATTGAAGATATTAATTCTTCATGTGAGAAGATCTCATGAAGTACTTGTCTACCATAATCACCAATATTTTTTCCTCGAATACGTGTTAAATTAATGCCTTTGTATATCTAAACAGTAAAGTAGAAAATAGAATTAAAAGAAAGCTTAAAACAAACCACATCATCGAATTTTTGATCTTGACCTGATTCACGAAACGAAGAAAGATCAATCTAGAAAAGAACAATTGAAAATGTCAAATAAGTAATAAGAAGGATGCAAAGTACTTACTGTATCAAAATGATGTTTACGATCGATTTTTTTTGATAATTTCATATACTGTTTTTCATTTTCTTGTCGAATTGTGTTAAATTGAATATCGATATGTTTCATGAGTGACGAAGCTACAAAAAAACGGATTATACATTAATTCTGCTATAAAAAAGTTAAACAATTCAAACTTGATGAAGATGTTAAAAATTGATTGTTATTTTCTTCATCACTAGAACGATCATCATCTAAAGCAGAGATAGTGAAAAAGAGAACAGTATATTTATTCATATATAATATAGGAATAAAAATTTTCACGAATATAAAGTTTGTAGAATCTATGCACATTCTATGGGAATCCTTATGTTAACCTATCTTTTTAGATTTTCTGGCTACCATTAATCTCAGAAGAACTTACTAAATTAAAATTATTAAGATCTAAAGGATAATTTATAAATGATAATGTACCTTGAATATGTGTTTGAATATCATCAATTGTCTTTTTTGTTGCAGAATTTAATGCTGAAGAACGATGATGGATTTTTACAAGTGGATCAAGTGGAATACGTTTTTGTTGTGGTGTTCGTGATTTTATTAAGGAATTTGAAGCTAAAAATATAATAAATAAAGACCAGTATTAATTCTATCAAAATGAAATGAAAAAATATTTCTCAGAGAAACGATTTTTTAATTAAATAATATTTTCTTTCTACAAGTTTTTTCTAGCAAGTCAATTAATTAAAAGATATAACTATATATTGCTTATAACGGATAAGAATCATTGGACTATGTTCAAGAACGTAAACATCCGAAAGTCGCTTTACTTCTACAAATTCAGAAGACTCT